ATTTCACTGAGAATTTTTTCTCATAGAAACCCTTCATTAAGTCAATGACGGAAATTCCTAGAACAACTTTTTGCATAGCATGATTTAAGATTCTTCCTCCATTTTTTTTGCATGTTATTTTCAATTTTACTGAAGTTGTTTCATTTAGAATTCTTTTCTATAAAATACTGATAGATTTTTTTTCTTTTTCCTTTATAAGCACGTATCAAATTTTACCAAGTCTAGCTTCTGCCACAGGAGATGTGCTTTTTAATTTTAACTAAATTTGTTTTTTTATGTTAAATTTTATAGATCTAAAGAATATCTGGTTGTCCTATCAATTTTAATACATTTTTACCATGTGCACTTTTAGTCATATAATTTTGTGTTGATTACTTCTACTGAAAACGATCATAAGTTGCATAAGACTGATGGTTGGTATTTGTTTCTTGGTCGGATAAAAGTTCTGCAGCCGTATCCTTGGTAGGCTCGAAATGATGGGAAAGCATATCTTGTCTCCAGGAGAGTTTGAGCTGGCAGCTACGGTTTCTATTTCTCATTCTGCCTCAAGTTTTAAGGTGAGATTCATAGAAATCTGTAGTAGTGTCACAAAGAAAGCACTAGACAGTGGAATAACTAATCAGCATATTGTGGTTAGAAAAGCACATTTGAAATCAGGACACCTTGGGCTTATGTTCTTTCTCTAAGAATATAGTTCTAACCTCCGTGAACAATCCGTTTACTTCTTGGGGAGTGAGTTTCCTTTGTTGTAAAATGGTGCCATCTAGCGGCTACTAATCCTAGCGGCTAAAGGATTATTTTGAGACTCCTAATAACAGTAAAATAAGATTTTCATTTCATCAACAACAACGTTTCACCCCAGTGTAAGATAATAATAATTGATCCTAAGTACGATGGCACCTGTTTGATCAAGCCCAATGACTTCTAGATTTTATATCAACCTGAATCTAACCTACCTGACTACCCCAGTTCTAAACTACATCATTTCACCTTCACCTCCATCATCAAGTTTATCACAATTTTTAGTCCCTTCTTTTTGACATGATGTGCCGTCTCCCCAGAATGGAAGCTCCTTAAGGAGCTGTATTTAAGGAGCTGTATAAATAGGCTGTATTTTCATGGTTGTTGCCATTCACTGCCAGATCCTGGACATCTGGCCTACCACCCAGCTCACAGGAAATACTCGCCAAGTATTTGTGAATGATAATAAGCATGCACAAAGAAAGGAGTCTAAGGAAACATAGGTAAGTGAGTCCTGTTTATAAAACCTGATCTGAAGTACTGGAAGTGCTGAATTCACACAATTTTTCTTGAAAAGGAATATACATCTACATACAGCTTCCATATGCCCATCGCATATGCATTATGTTTAGAAAATGTGGGTGTTTTAAAGAGGTTTATTGCTTTTTTCCTCCCAGGTAGCAATGGGAAAGTTAGGGTGAAATCGGAAGAAGCAACACGATCCCTATTACTATGACCACCGCCGTGCGGCAGAGCCAGAAGTCACAGAGGCGGTGGGGCTCAGAGCTCTTCCCACAGATCCCCTCCACGGAACAAGGCAGCGGTAGCACTGGAGGGAACTATTCACCCTGGCAGGGACGGCTGGGGGCAGGGCCAGGCTGCCGCCCTGGTTAAAGACGTCTGTTGCAGGATGTATAATTATTTCTTTACTCAATAGCTCAGTGCTGTTGTTGGTTGGTAATAGCCGTTAAATACACTTTTAATGAAAGTCCTTTATTTTGGGGGGCTTGTCTTTCCAATACTTAATACATCCAGGCTGCCAGCAGCATCTGCCATGTACAGCAAGGCTGCTATTTGTCTTCATTACTTCCATGTTTTTTGAGGACATGATATAAAACAGAAAATTTACCCGTATGCTATTTTTAATTCGCTTTTAGATTCTTTTTAAAGTGTAAAATCTGGCCCTTCCTCTCTTGACAGGTGTGCCACTCCAAGAAACGGAAGTTGTACGGCCTCCTGGTTTCAGACGCCTATTATACAGGACGCTGCTCAAATTGTTAAAAGTACATAAAACCTGCTTTTAAGACAAACCACGAAATGCAGTTTTCAGCCTACTGGCTCCATGTAGGAAGTAACTTAGATAAAGAATTCTAAGAATGTAGACTTCCTCTACATTTAACAAAGAGAAGCATGGTAACTCAACCAACTTAAGGTAAATGGACAGTCTAGTGAAAAAATATGGGGTTCTGGTTAAGAATAACGCCCTGATAATTTTTTGTATTTGGTTGTTACCAGTTTATAAATGATTCAAATGTTTGTGTTCTTTAAAATTATTCAGAGTAAGTAGGAATAGTTATAGAATTTCAGAGGTAGGAAGGCCAGATCACCTAGCCCCCACGGGGGAAAAGATTTCCATCCCACTGGGACTTTACTGGCTGCCCCGGGTTCCGTGTTGAGAGAGGTTCCGAGGCTGAACCTGTGGACAGCAGTGAGGAGGACCATAATTTACTAACCACGTTGTGGGGCATGGGGGGGCATGAAGTTAAGTAGCACAAGGGCCTTACAGCTGCTATTGTCAGTTTGGTTCCTGTTCTCTGTGCCCCTTTTGACTTGTGTGAGCTCACTTATCCTGGGCCACACAATCAGGCTGAAGCAGAGCCGGGGCTGGAACTCCCTGCACCTGAGTACTAACTAGTTCAGTGCTCCTCCTACCGCACAGTCAGGGCTGTCTTGGTGCGACGTGTTCTCTCCAGTGTCGGAATGCAAAGTCTGAAGGGTGATAACTCAGCGTTGTGTCAGACAATTTGTGATGTCCTGGGGCTGATTAGAAACTGACAAGCTTTTGCATGGAAAGGTCAGTAAGATACAAGAGTTTGCAAAGGGCTCTTTCGAAGTACGTGACACGCTGTGTGTCAGCGGGTCCAGTCTTTCGACATGGTTCAAAAGTAAATACAGCTATACCTTGGCTGAAAATAGAACTTTTTAAACAGTGGTCTTTTACAATTCCAAATACCTACATTTGGTTTAATTGTTTTTGCTGCTAAACAATAACCAAATACAGGGGTGGGCAAAAGTAGGTTTACAATCGCAAGTTTATCTTTCAGTAATGAATAACTCTGATAGCTCTAAACTATGGCCCAAAGAGGAAGTAAAATTTGTGAAAGTTAAGTATTTTACAAATCCGTGAAATCTGGAGATCAGGAGCTATGGGGACAATAGGAAAATGTTTCCATAAAATACTAAAAATTAGAAATAGTGACTAAAATAAAGGAACTATATGTACTTAATATACAAATACTTTTCTTTCTAATAATATTATTTTAAAAATGGAATAGTCATCATTTTCAGATGATGCCTACATGGTACAAAGGAATGGACTAGATAACCTAGACAATTATCATTTTAAGATGATACATATTGCATATTTTGGTGCGAGAAATGGATTAGATTCGCTTCCCAAAGACTCTGTAATTATGTGTAGTTATGGTCATGAGAAGCATGCCTTTGGGCACATTTGGATTATTTTATATATTTGCTATATAATGCAGTATTAAAATAAAAATGAGAAAGAAGTCAATGTGCTAACAAAATCCAAGTACTATTTACTGGTTAAATGCTGAGTTCCAGATAGATCAGAAACCTGGAGAATGTGTTTTTGCATGTAGAGTTATAATGGTGATAGAAACAAAAAGGCGTCAGTAATAAATACATTGACGCTTCAGAAAACATTCTCCCTACCTTGTTGCTATAAATACCTTTTAATGTTAATTAAGGAAATACAAAATAAAACAATCTTTCGTGTATCCAACTCAAGGTTTCTCATGTTTAAGAGACGATGCAGTTGGAGTACTCTGGCATTCCAATGGCACTTAAAACCGCATACAAAAATGAGTTACTTTGGTAGACCTCACTGGAGGGGAAATCGTTAATAGAGACTCCCAGACACGGAGACTGCTAGAGGAGACACTGTCATAGATTTCAAGGCAAGAGTGCAAGTCAGCTGGGGCCCCGGCAAGTGTTGGGTGGGGCGCTGATGAGTGCAGCCTCTTTCCAGAGAGCTTCATAAATGTCCGTGCACACCGGAGGCTACCCTCGGGGAGCAGAAAGGGACCAGGTCAGGACACTCAAGTGCACAGGTAGAAATCACAGCGGTTTAGGACAGGCAGAAACGACCAGAAGAGGGTGGTGTGAGGAAGAAAAGGCACCCTAAGAACCTCTGAGTTGAGAGGCTTGAAAGCACCTCTGGAACTCAGCACTCCAGGGGCCTCCGCATGCTATTAACCCTTCCCTCACCAGCAGCATTGAAGTCCAACAGCTGGGACTTAATGGAAAAGTGTTCATTTGGATGCTTGAAATGTTCCTCATGTATTAATAGGTACATTCTGGCAATGGGAAAAAATAGCTTGCACTTTCAATGATAGTACAGCTGGAATAAGTAAAATAATTACCGTACCCATCTCTCCTCAAGAATATTAATGGAGCATAAAGGCTCATTCCTCAGTTCTGTATCATAAGCAACACAAATGTGGTATTTTTTTTGAGCCCCTATCTCAGAGGTTTCCCAACTTGGGTATATGTGGGAAGCTTGTGAAATGGACAGATTTCTGGGCTCTGTCTTAAAAACTTCAGATTCAGAAGTCCTGGGTAGGCCTCAAGAACTTGCTTTACCAACAAACGCTCCTGCTGAAATCTCACGCAGGGAATCTGGGGGTCACACTCTGGGAAACGGCGCCCCAAAGTAAATTCTTTTCCACGTTAGTGTCAAGTCACAGCGAACTGTATTTCCAACAGGCTTCCTAAGGTTAGTCCCGAGAAGCGAGGAGACTGCCACAGGGTCAGCCAGAGGTAAACGAACAAAGCAGAGTGAGGACACCTAGCTTTCAAACACATTCACACAGACCCTTACAACGGAATCTAAATGATCTACGCGGAGAAGCTTCTAGTCTGTCCGCACCCCATGCATGACCCTATTTGGACAGAGCTCCCTGCAGGTTCGTCCTGGGTTAGGAAGCCCACACCGATATTTCCCGGTGTTTTACCTCTTTAGGTGATAGGATCGAAATGTAATCGTCATATATCGTTCTGGCCTTCTCTTCGATTACTTTTTTGTTCTGCTCTTTCTTTAAGTCTTCACAGGCAAGCCAGAAAAGTAGGTTCTCTTCGCTGTATTCTGTCCGCAGGAACTCTCTGAAAAGGTTTCTTCCTGCCGGGGCCTTCATCATCTTGTCAAAATTCTGAGACCAGGACAGGACTTCATCGGATGTGGGGTTTTGCCTGCAGAGAAAGAATGGGCCGTTATCCTGCGGGGACCTTGATTGCCAGCCCGGGGCAGGCCAGGAGCAGATAGACTTTCTATTCAATTGCTGCCACCTAGTGGTCACTGCCCCTCAGTACGGGTTGATCTGGCAAAAAAATCTGCCAGGACTAGGTGAGTGATTTCTGGGCCTTGACAAAAATCAGTGTTAGGTACAAGCTGCATGTCAGGGAGCCAAGTGTTCAACTAGCAGGGGGCTGTACACACTCTGCACGTGGGCCTCATCATTCCTGCCCAAGACCGGAAATGTTCAAACCTTGATATATTGCAAGGTCATAGAAACAGTCTATACACTTATTGTCCGAAGGGCAAACTGAATTTTTTTTGTTTGCATCTGATGCAGATTTTCATTTTCAAACTAGAAGATACTGTTTCTCCTTAAATCTCTGGTGGCTGTTTTCTTTTTAAATCACTAGATCTAAAAGAAGAATCCGTTGTGTGCATTTGTCACATATTTTCCTAAACTTTCATAATGATTCCATTAAATACCGGTGGGACAAAAGTAGGTTTACAGTTGTTTGCCTGAAAAGTAATACAATAATTAATAAACAATAACATAAGGATAAACTCTATGTTTTGCACACGCACAACTGTGGATCTGCTTCCGCCCACCCTGTACTGTGAATGAAGTGTTACCCGTGAATGAAGTCATTGCAGTTACAAAGCTCAGGGCCTTTGCGAGGACAGCTAGGACCTTTGAGATACCTACATTCAGGTTTTCAGTGGCTACTTTAGTGGCTACTTTCCTGCAGAAACCACCAGTTCTTGCTCCCTTTGCTAGTACATCAAAGAAGTGGGAGAAATGGACTGGGGGTGCTTATGGTTAAACGGATCTTGCTTTCCCATTCAACAGTCTATTTAGTGATTTTCTAAACTAAAACACACCTGGTCAAAGAAGGTAGACATGTGTGTACACCTTTTTGAGAAGGTATTTTAAATCGATTTTTACTATTCCAAAATGTCTAAATTCCCTCACTCATTTAAAAAATTTCAGAAGAAAAACATTGCTCCGCAGCATCAAGATTAAAACCTTCTCATCAGTAGAAAAAGAAAGTACCTATAATTACACAAATAATCCACTTGTGTGTTGATTTAATCTGTGGATCCCGTTCTTCGTTTCAACTTCTCCTTTTGGAGGAAATACTTGGTTAGAGTCAGTTCTGATGGAAACGGGACGGCACGCCAGCTGCCTGCCCTTTCTGACCGAGCTGGGCAGCTCCGCATCTTTTGTGTGTATGTGTTTTAGATTCTTCCCAGAAGAAGAGGATGACTGAAAGAAATGTCGTCGGAACAAGGAAGGAAAGAATTAGCCCATTTTGAGGGGCCTAATTCATGCAGCAGTCATTACTTTTTGAAAGGGAAAGATAAAGTCAGGCAATATGTGAGCTGCTCGCTTCACAGAGCTAACAGAAGAACGGATGGAAAGCAATGGCATCCCAAAAGATCTCCCAGCTTGTGTGTGCATTCATCTCCCAAGCCCACTCTCAGGAGTGACAGGAAGAAGCCCAAGCTGACAGCTCAGCGCGGAGTAGATGTAACCCGTGTATGAATACGAGATGCAATTACAACATGAGTCACTCACCCTTCTTCCTCTAGAACCTGGATGCTCTCCATCTTGGTGGTGTGCGTGGGTCTTTCTGCAGTTTCCGCTCTTTCCTCGTTTCTCACAGTGAGGCTGCAATGTAGAATAACATTTTATTCTGTCTATGGAAAACCACTTGTTGAAAGAAAAGGAAAACAGCCGCAGGAAACTGCTGCACAGAAGAGTTTCATTTCCAACTGTGTGAGAAGGTTGGGTGTACAGAAGTGCAATGCCATTTTTAAAAGATGGGTAAGCCCATGTCAACTCAAAGAAAGAGAATCACTATTGAATAAAATTATAAAAAAATCAGAACTCAAAAAATGGATACTGTTACACATTCTGACTTCATACTAATGTAATTTAAATTACTTAAAATCCCTGAGATACCTGCCTACATGATCATATGCTTTAATATTTGATACACATTATTACGCTACTCTTTGGAATAATTTGATTTTGACTTTTGATTAGTTCTACTCATAGTTTGTCTTCTATTTACTTTCCTCCACGGATAGCTAAAAAGGTACAATGTGTCAGAATCTGAAACAGCATTTGCATAATGCACATCACCCTCCTTCGCAGACCAGGTTCTCTGTCACCGATACCGTCATTCCTCCACACACTCAAGTCTGAACCACTGGATTCACAGTTGACTTTGTCTTTGCCCTCTCATCCCATTTAGTCCATTTCCAATGCCCCCAGGGGTTCTAGAAAGGAGAGCATTGGTGGGGAGAGTCTCTGTGTCTCTGGGACATGAATCCAGAAATTCTACAGGATGACAGGATCTAGGATACTCCCCTCAGCTTCTGTACGGCCGGAGCCGCGCCTTAGGGTGGGACACCCAAGGTTCTAGGTGTAGACAAGATGTGATGAGGGAGGTACTAGGCAGATACTAAGAAGCAGTTGGGTAGGATGACTTGGAAAAGTCAAGCTACTGAATTAGCAAACATACCCCCGTGTAGGAGCTGAGGGGCTTCATGAGAGCCTGTCAGAGAGCAAAAGAAGTCCAGCTAACATCTCTTTCATCTGTTCATTCATTCATTGTTTCAATAAGAGGAAATGGAAACTATTATATTCTAATGTCTGTACGTGCCAGGCACTGTCTTTTTACCTTCAATTTCATGATCCCGATTTTACAGATAAGCAGTGAGTCCCAGGGTTGCGCGTCAGGTTGGTCCAAAGTCACACACAATATGTGGTATGGTTGGACGTTAAACCCAGTTCTGGCAAATGACCCTGCTGTTTGTGTTGAGTGCCTACTATGAAGCATGCTCCATGGCAGGTGCCGATGCAATAAACTACTCACTATGTGCATGAAGAAAAGGGTCACTAAATGTGGCTGTGGTGGCAAGGAGTTTAGTGGGTAAAGCTTCCTGCGAGTATCAGTAGTCATTCTTAATCTAGAAAGTTTGGCAAGGGCAGCTGAGGCGGTGGCTCATGAATACATTCCCTTACTCTCAGGCGCAAAGGTGAGGACGGAGAGGCTGGAGCGAAGGGAAGAAGAATTTCAGGAGGAGTGGCCCATCCACAACTGAGGGTGACGCTAGCTAGGAACCTTTCGTTCAGAGAGTAGACTTCTTGCAGAAAACTGAACTCAGTAGGAGTTGGATAGGCTGCTTACTCAGAAACAAGGCACCTCGATGAAAAAAAGATGAACAGTGAAGTAAAGTAAGTTCTCTTCTAACAGTTTCTAGGGACACTGGCAGGTTTCTTGGTGTAGAACCGTGGAAAGAAAAGAGTACACCTTCCCAACAGTGGTGTGGCCCTAAGAATTCTGGGAAGCAGAAACTACAGCCAATTGCTGCTGGAAACCCAGCAAGCTGACTGTGCTCAGCACGGAGACAGCACGTGCAGGGGCGGCGCCCTCAGACGCGGGGCAGCCCTGGGGAATACAGTGAAGGGGATTCAGAGAGAGCAGCACCATTGTCTGTGTCCCGCACGTGGGTGCCGCGGATGTGCTTGCAGACTGAGCTGGCCGAGGAAACCTCGGTCCTCGGTGTTGCTGCGCTCTTAGGTCAGCTGCTTGGCTAGAAGAGAGTCACTAACTTCTCCAGGTGTGATTACAGCGCTTCTCTGGAATTTGATGATACATTTCCAATAGTTATGTGAAAGTGGGTAGGAGGAGGTTGACAATATTCTGTAAAATTTCCTGGGAGAAATTAATGATGCCAAATGTGTAAAATATGCAGATTTTGATACATTCTACAAAGAACATATTGAAACAGGAAATTAATACCCTTTCTGCCAAGTTTTACTGAGCTTATATGTGTGCACACATAGGAAAGTACTATTAAAAAGACTAAGAAAAGAGCTTGCTTTTGCTGATGAAATAATAAATTTGAGAATTTATTTCTGCTACATTTCCTTACAAACGCAGTGTGACACACTCATGCAAGTATTCTCCATTTTATGCAATATCTTTAAAAAATTTTTTTCACTATTGTATATTTGCTGTAGGGCAACAAATCTAGAATCTACATGCACGACTGACAAGTTTCTGAATATGAGCTCTGGCTCTTCCACCCATTTCTGCGATGTTTACAAACATCCCAAATGCCACCATGTTGGAGTGATCATTATGAAATACTGGGTTGTGTTTATACCTCATTTCTACAGATGGTAAAATCTGGACACACATGCACTAAAGTGACTTAAAACAGCTGTTCCATAAACGCTTAGCTGTTCGCTGTTTGCTCCATTTCCTGATTGGATATTGGACACGAAACTGTCCCATAGAAAGACACTGACCTTTCGCGATCAGCAAGTGTCCTGCTAATTAACTGTCTGGCAGTGCTGTCCTCAAAAAAGTCGCTTTCCAAGTTTTAATGATCAAGAACCACTGATAGTGACGCTTGAAGATGAAAAAGAATGGAGAAAATGATAGGAGAGTGCGTACTAGACTGACGGTCATTTCTGTCTTAGGAATGACTAATGTCTGTCCCCAAGTTCCTGCTCTCAGTAAGAGAGTCGATTTTTTAAGATAATAAATTGCCAGAAATATTTGCTTTAGATCAACAAATACATCAACATATACACACTGTATGTGCCTGAGAAAAGCTCTAAAAGAAAAACGGTAAGTGTCACAATAGTGAGGGGTCATATGGAGACATGTACTTCTTACTTTTACAATGTTTGTAATGTTTTAAATGAACATTTCTGCTTTTCAAACAACTAAAGCCATAAATAGAACAGAATGCGTATACCATGCTCACTGTGGAAGTCGATTAAAGCTTCCATATTTACAGAAGGACGTGCCAGTCTAACCTAGGCTAAACAGGGGGAAATAAGCACTTAAAATTACATTAGACAGTTTTGAGGATGGTGACTTTAGGAACAGAAGAATCACATTTGGTATATTTCAAGGAAATGAGCCCTGGCTGGCGTAGCTCAGTGGATTGAGCGTGGGCTGCGAACCAAAGCAATCGCAGGTTCGATTCCCAGTCAGGGCACATGCCTGGGTTGCAGGCCACAGCCCCCAGCAACCACACATTGATGTTTCTCTCTCTCTCTCTGTTTCTCCCTCCCTTCCCTCTCTAAAGATAAATAAATAAAATCTTTTTTAAAAAATAAAGAAATGATGCCTTCTTTGCGTACGGATGGCCTTTTTGCTTGTTTTCGGGGGAGTCTGGCTAGTGGGGTGAGGACAGCATTACTGGCTGCTCATTACCGAGTTTACCAACTGCTCTGTCCCCACGGATCCCTGCGGGGCCTATTGTGGAAGACAGGTCCACTATGTAAGAAAAACAATTGGTTCTTAGGGAGAACCTTTGAAGTGGGTGCAGATAAGAGGAAAACTCTGCCACAGCCACGGTGACTCTGGGGTAGGGGCTGATCACAAAACTACGTATTTACACAAACACTCAACTGAGGAACGAATAGGATGCTTCAAGTTAAGGCAGTGTGACTTCAAGGCTCCAGGAAGAGCCACTGCCATTAGTGAGGCAGATACTAGTGAGTATTTTAACATTCTCACGTTGTGATACCAGTTTTCCCTTTTTAGTTAACAGCTTCTACCTCAAATTTCCCAGTGTAAAAAGGGACCCAACATCCTCAGGTTCTGTAAAAAAAAAAAAAATAACAGGTTATTCTTTACATGTTCCATTTTCCTCAGTTGAAAAATATCATGGTAAAATAACACAGCAGTGTTATTTAGTAGTCAACCATAGTTTATACATACGTCGGAGACACCTGGTTTCTGCAGCACCGCCTGGGTTGGAAATTCAAGGTCAATGAGTAGCCGCTCCAACCCCGGGGAGCGCTGACAGGTAGACAAGCAGCACACGCAGCACTGCAGCGAGAGCTAAAACAGAGGGATGCAGGTGGCGTTCCTGCAGGCACAGGTGCGGCGTCTACGGTTTTGCAGGAGAGATTGAGACAAGCTTCATAGAGCAGGTACTGAATAACTCGACTGAGCAATAAGCAGGTGTTTGCCACGTGGACACGTGGACCAAGGGAATTCCAAGTAGGGGGAGAGAAAGGTGCGGAGGCTGGGAGCTGTGAAAGAGGCGCCACGCACATCCATGTCGGACAGAATGGGGAGATCAGATGTGTCGGGGTGGGGGTGGGGCAATGAGTTAGGGACAGCAGTGAGGTGCTGCTAAATAATGGGCCAAGAAAACGAGCAGGGCACTCCAAATCTAGGACACACCTCCTGAAAAATGATTTTGGCTTTCTACACTTTAGTTTCTCCATTTGTAATGGGGATAATGGTGGTGACCTACTACACAAGCAAAGACTCGAAACCTGAGACAAAAAGGCAAATTATTACCCACGCTTCATGAAATATGAGGGCCAACTGGTTACATATTTAAATGACAATTCTGCCTGGCTGGTGTAGCTCAGTGGACTGAGCACGGGCTGCGAACCTAAGGGTCACCAGTTCGATTTCCAGTCAGGACACATGCCTGGGTTGCAGGCCAGGTCCCCGGTGGGGGCCAGGTGAGAGGCAACCACACACTGATGTTTCTCTCTCTTTCTCACTCCCTTGCCCTCTCTCTAAAAATAAATAAAAATAAAATCTTAAAAATATAAATAAAGTTTAAATGACAATTCCAAATTTTATCAAAGATTTCTTAATCTCAGCTGGAGGAAAT